GATGTCTGCATATATTGTCGATTGTAATGTTCCACACTTGCCTGGTCTTCAGTGACCGCAGTATATTGTAAGTAAAAGTAAATAAATAGAATTCTTATTGAGGTCAGTGAACATGTATAGTGGCGCCTAAGATAGCGGGCAGAGCGTAAAAAGCAAGTTTTGCGACCCCGGTGTGGTATTTTCTGTTTGTTCTGGCGATGTAGATCTTTGTGTCTGAGAAGCACTCAACCTGCGGACACGTGCTATTCTCGGTGTAGAAGAAGCACGCGATGTTTTCACGATAGCCTCAAAGATTGGGAGGACCTTTGCTCGGCCTTTCCATATTTTGCGCCCCTCTTGTGCGTCCGTGTGCTGCCAGCGGTGCAGGGTGTTTCGTGCGTTCGGACATATCGGTCTCGGGTGGCATCCTTGACATTGCAGTATTTAAAAGTGCGCTCTCAGCTGATAAAAGGCGGCCCCCTTTCCGGCGGTCGCTTTCTCCCGCCGGGCGCCAGCTGCGAAGGCGCGCGCGCTTCCTCGGAGGGCGAGGGGGTCCGGGGTTCGGGCAGACGCGGAAGAGGCCAGGTATGCGGCCTTGGACGGCGGCGCATTCTCGGCTGCAGCTGGCCCCCGTTGCGTGGCCCCCCGCGCGCCTCCGGGGGTGCAGCTGCTGCCCCTCCGCGTCGGTCGGACGCCCCGGACCGGCAGCTCCGGGGGGGAATCCTTTCGCGTGCCGAGTTCCCCGGCCTGCCCGCGCGCTGGGGGGGCAGCACCCATTTCACGCGAGCTTACATACACGGTACGAGTAGCGGCCGCCGCCAACTTCGTCGAAACGTCATGGCCCGAAACACGACGGAACTAATGGCGAATTCCATTGGGAGAGCAGGTGCACTCAAAAGCACGCTCAAAGTGCTCTCTTCCGAGGCGGCGTGTTTCAGTGGTCGAACAGGAGTAGGAGCACTGTCATCCATTGGTAGAGCGAGAGCGCTTTTGCTGCGCCGAGAGCAGCCAGGAGCAGTTCTGTCTGCTCCCTCTTAAAAAGCGGAGTGAGTGGAAAACGCAGGAAACCACGTGTTTGGAACGTCATGTCCGGACATACCCTCTCAGCAATCCTCCTCACTTGTTTACATTTTGCGGCGTCGTGTCGGGCGGTTATGGCGGCAGCGAAGCGTGCGTGGTGCTCGGGCTCGAACGATTTTAACGTCGTAGCGGCAGATTCTGGCAGTGAACGTCCACCTTGCCTGCCTTCAGATTCACGGATGGCGGAGGCAGCAAAACGTCGTCGTCTTGCCGAAGTATTTGACGAGCTAGACGATGTCAGCAGCGATAGCTGCTGGAGCTCTACGTCCGAGTCGAGTTCAAGCAGCAGCGACGATGACGACGAAGTGTATGCAGCAGCGTTTCAGCAGCTCTTTTCTCTGCCAGAGCGAAGGCCGAAAGTGGAAGCATATGTTACAAAGACGGTGGCTAGCTACTCCGACGAGGAGGTGAGTCATTCGGCTTCTGTTTTAATTAGGTTGCTTAAAGGCCTGTTTTCTTCCAGTTCAAAAGAAATTTCCGCGTCACGCGGCCGGTCGTGGACTTCTTGGCAGCAGAATTCGCCAAGTCACCGCACTGCCCTCAGAACAGTGATCATGGTGGCCTGCCTGCCAAGTCGGCTGAAGAACACATTCTCTCCTTTCTTTGGTGAGTGTCCGTACGTTTAGGAATGCCGCTGTCATCAGGTCACTGCATAATCCGTTTTATAGTGGGTTAGAGGCATATGAAATATTGCAAATAAATGTACCTAATTCGCAGCATGTCATTGGACCACCTTGCTTTAAACTTGTTAAATGCTACTAGCGAGTGTCGAACGTAATAGAGTTATAGTATTTTGTGAAATGCTTTCGTAGTTTGTACACCTACACACTGAGCTTCACAAAATTCTCGTTACTAGAATCAGTGGCAAAGCATAATTCATGATGCATCATTACAAACAACCATGAAAACTTTTGCTCACGAAGCATTTCAAATCGGCTGTGTCAGCAGGTTCACAGTGAGCTTCATCTCCACACTTATAAATGTAATGCGCGAATTAAAATTAGAATTTGTTATTTAGATAGTGCTTCTACTAATCAAATATTTTGAGTTTCTAAGGTGTCACCCAAAAAGGTGGAATCGTGTTTTCTGACTTCAGTTGTCTTGCTAATTTGCTTCATTGACAGCGACAGCATTGTTAACACCATTATTCAGTCATTGACAGCAACAGCAAGCTTAATTCCATTATTTAATTAGAGTATCCTCTCCTTTTCAGGTATGCAGCCAACAAAGCATGCATTAGAGATGTCGCTGGCCGCTTTGAAGTCGCAGAAAGCACTCACCACAGAATGATGGGCCGAGTAACTGCATTCCTGCTCGACATAGCACCGAATGTAATCAAGTTCCCCAGTGACCTGCAGAAGCTTGCTGTGGATTTTGAGAAGGTAACTATGCTTTTGTAAACATGCTATTTAAGGTATAAACTACAGTTTTTTTCACACCAATGTCATACAGCTCTACACAACTCAAGGGACCAGACTAAGAGGAATTACACCTACTCAAACCACAATAAGGACTGAAAGCAACTGATATGCAGGATCAGAACTGCAAATGAACAGAAAATGTAAAATGCAAGAGATATGAAAGAGCACCACACAGTCAAGCCTCCTTCATGTGTATTACAAATGCTGTCAGCAATCGGACATTTTTCTTGAGTAGTTTTGACCATGTGATGCTGTTTCATATCTCTTCTATTTTCCCATCTTCTGCTTAGTGATGTACATCTAGTACTTGTCCTGCATGTACAGTGAATAACCTAGAGTTCAGTTACTTGTGCACTCTGTATGTACTCTGTATGTGTCATTAATTCCCCTTCGTGCGGTCCCATGTGTTCTTTACCGCTCTACTATTACAATTATGAATTAGTTAGTGCCAGAATGCACCTTTTAAATAAGTTATTACAATTATTTTTCCCAGATGCTTCACAATTAAATAGCCAGTTAATTTCAATCATGTGTACCGGTAGTGTATTGCACTCGCCGTTATGAGCTTCAAGTCTCCAGTTTGTTTTAAACTTTTCCGCATGTTATTGGCACCTTTCATTACCCTTAGTGCCATGCTTATTTGACTATGTGTGTGCACATTTTTTTCTCTTGCAGCTGTCGGGATTCCCAGACACAATTGGGTGTGTTGACGGAAGCTACATGCCTATCAGGTGCCCAGCCAGGAAAGTGCGATCTGTTTATATAAACCGGCACCATTACCTATCCTTGACACTTCAAGGTGTTTGTGACAACAAGAAGAGGTTTCTTGATGCCAGCACTGGCTACCCAAGCAAAATTCATGACGCACGCATTTTCCGTCGGTCCAGGATTTCAAGTGTTTTGCCACAACTGTGCTCTAGCAAGTACCATATAGTGGGGGATGCTGCATATCCTTTCCGGGAGTACCTGATGACACCAATTCGAGACTATGGGAATCTTGACAGCATCAAAAAAACCTTCAATGCAAGACTCTCCGGGACAAGGGTGCTTATTGAAAATACTTTTGGCGATTTAAAAAATCGTTTCAGACAACTGCACAGGTTGGATATGTGGACAGTGGATAACATGTCCAAGTTTATCATTTCATGCTGTGTGCTTCACAACCTCTGCATTGATTGTGGAGATTTGCCAGAGAACCTGTCACGAGACCTGTCACTTACCTCACAAACAACAAATGTAGACTCAAGCTCTTCTGCAGTTCAAGTAAGCAGCAGTAGTGTAGCCCAACAGGATAGCCTATTACGTGGCTTGGCTAGCATCAAGAGAGATCACTTGATGATAAAAATGGGGTTGCAGAACCAGCAGCCATGAAACAAGGAATTCCTTTACGTGTTATGCAGTTGTGAGCAAATATATGCTTACCAAAGGCCCACCTGAAAAGCTGAACTCGTTAAAACACCTTCAAGGTTGGGAAAAATTGTCCTTACCACACACCTGTTGGCCCATTTGCATTTTCTCAAGGTAGTGTATTGTGCCAAACTAGAAAATAAAAGACATTGAAACTAAGTAATCGCTTTGGGTAGTACGTTTATTTATTTAAAACTACCACTTTATTTTGGAAGTCCAAAGGCCTGACGGAGAATCTCCATTTTTTCTTCATGCATTTTGCGCCGCTCTTCACGAAGCACCTGTCGCTCGGCCTGCCTTTCAGCTCTTCGATTTTCTTTTTCTTGACGTCTGGCCGCCTTTTGAGCCTCCTTTTCTTCTTGCAGTGCCCTCATTTCAGTAAAAAACAACTGCATGTGTGCCAGGCGTGCAGTTCCTACCCGTGGCTTCGTGTCGGGATTTGAGGACTGCGTCTTATTTTCCTCAGTGGTGTTGGCAGGTGACAACACGGCCGGAGATTCGGGCGAGGCTTTGAATGTAGCCCCTGAGGCGTCTCGCTCTACCTCCGGTTCAATGCTGTCATCAATGCTTTCAATTTTTTTCACCTCGTCGTCAAAAGGCACAGGGGTGGGTGAAGCACCAGACCTTTTGTTATGGTCGGGAAGACGCCTTCCGACGCCTAATTACTGTTTTGTACCTATTTTTCACACTGTTCTGGGGTTTTGGCTATGCCAAGCACAGCCTCGATGTCCATCGATATTTGTTAAAGGCTTGCTTCCTGTTTTTGAATTTTTTAAATGGGCCAATCTGAGGGAAATATTTGAGGTAGTACTCTAGGAGCAGCCTTGTTTGCCCCTCTGTCCATTCAGCAGCTAGAATAAGAAAGAACCAACACATAAATGGTTTATTGGGAAACTGTCGGTCATTGTGCAGGCATTACTTATAATTGAATAATTTAACACACAGCACGGTCACTTGAGCTTAATTATCAATCAGCAAGCATTAATCAACAAAACAAGCATTGCGCAGACTAGCAAACATACATAAGTGATAAGTTCTGGTATTGTGCATGTAAATGCAATATGCAAATTGTGCCAGTCTTCCAGTAATTGTAGTGGTCTGCTTTCCATGCTCTCTTTTTTTTTTGTCATTTAAGGATCACTCCTACAAGTACACTTTTACACGCTCTGATGCATGCTTGTTAGATTTACCCAAGAACACTTGCTGAGGCAATTGTAGACACTCAGTGTTAATATACTTGCCTCCACCTCCTCTCCTGGAGCCTGATGGCTTGCTTTGAGCACCAGTCTCCCCGTCAGCTGATCTTGATGCAGTGGGAGCTGGCAGGTGCAGAGTATCTGTGCCATCTAAAAAATATAAATGAGCAGTAAATGTAGTGCCTCGCAATAATGTTAATACTAATACTTACCACCTCCTGTTTCAACGCATGGCAATCTGAGCTCCATGCGCATTTCTTCGCTCCCTCGCCTTGGCACATCGCCAGCCATATTTGTACGCAGAACTGCATCTGTTTTCACACAATGATGGAAATGTAATCAAATCAGTTATATAATGAAAATGGTTTCTCAAGTAGTCAGCTACATTATGCAAACTCGGATGCCTTACACTCGAAGGTAAGCGGATTAGAGCAAGCAAAAAACAAATTCTAAAAAAGTCAATTCATCATGTTACAGGGCTGCATGAAACACTGCACAAATCACTGATAATTAAAAAAAATATCGCTTATCATACGTAGCATCTCGACCCTGCGATAAGAAATCGTGCTTCCGAGGAGATGTATGGCTTCACCGTATCACGTGGGATGCTGATCTGCCGTCTGGAGACATTAGCCACTTAAAAATCAGAAATAAAAATAAATTGTTACTGCGTGCAATACTTAGCTGCACCCACGTGACACTTGCTACACGCCACTTCGCAGTTACTTTTCTTAAAACGCTGCGAATCATTCTGTTGCTGATGGAGGGGTCTGCAATGTAAGTTTGTTTTGAATTAAGGATTAATTACTCATGCAAGGAAACTTGGCAACAGGATAGTGTACTGCAGTACTTCTAGAATTGTTTACGTTTTGTTAACTGCTGATGACAGCAGCAGCTGGTAACTGCATGAACAGTCTGATAAAGCTGTCATATCCACGGTGTTTTTCTGATATGATAAAGAATAGTGGGCTTAGGTCCACGCGCGCAAGAATGCATTGCATGCTGCATGCGCGACAAGTGGCGCTGAAACAAATAAAAGCAATCAAATTCACTTTACCTTCCGTACTAGATGGTGCCTGGTGTTGAATTAAAGACAGTAGGATGCGCTGAGCTTCCGAGTCCATCATGTAGTAGTATACGAAGCAGCAGCTTTGCAGGATAGCGCGCAAGCGAGTGCGCTGTACCAACCACTGCCACACGTGCTTTCCTTGCCCGTCCGGATCAGACCGCACGTGTTTTGCAGCAGAGGACGCTGGGATGCACAACCTTTCTCCTCACTCGCCTTTTTATTCCCTCACACCTGCTCTGCGGAGGTGTGCCGCATTCCAGTGGCAGGTCGAGTGACGCGGCTCTCAGTGCTCTGCCCCCTACTCCTCTCTGCTCGGCACCCTTACTCCTGTTCTCTCAATGGAATTCGCCATAAGTAACCGTGTAGCGTGTCGTAGGCCTGTACAGCAGGCGTAGTTTGCGACAGCGCGATTGTGCGCCACGGACTGGAATGAAATACTATGTGGTTCCGATTGCGCGTTAACGGTGGTGCCATTTGGCGCTGTAGATTGTGATGCGTGGATGAGACCTTTCTATTTATTGTTGCTGTCTGCGTGCGCACGCAGCTGTGGCTGTGCGTTTTTTTTTGTTTGGGCGATCGTTCTCCCTCACCTGACTTGTCGGCACCAATATGTAAGATGAATACTTTGCCAATGGCGAACAGTGTGCAGTGTAAGTCATCGCAAAAAGCTGTCAATACTGCTTTTTAGCGATGGAACCCTACCGGCAGTGTTTGACAGCGCTGTCGGCGATCGCTGACCGCATCTTAATTCGAGGTTCGTAATGTGCCTCGTTCTGTGAATCACTGCCAACGTCTCTGAGCTGCCTCAACGTCACAGAAAATCCTTCACACATACATTGCCCGCGATATAGCCAAAGTTCGCGCCGACATTTTTCCAGCGTATCAGCGCTGCAGAAAAAGAGGGAGGGCCCGCAGCTACGCGAAGCTCGCTCTCTCCATAGGGAAAGGGCGCGGCACCGCGTCAGAATTCCACGTATTGGCGCGCTGCAACGGGTACTTGTGTGCAGGCCTGTAGTTCCACGCGCATCGCCTGTCGTTGCAACGCCATTCAAAGAGCTTCAGCGAAGTGCTAGTTACGCTGAAGAAAAAGCGTGCTCGCATGAGTATCTGCAGATAAGAACGAGGTTCAGTTGCTCATGCAGCAAGGAGCAGCTCGACGCTGAAGGCTTGGCTTCATTGCTTAGCCATGCTCGTCCTTGCTTTTAAACCATGATGCGCATTGATTGATATGTGGGTTTAACGTCCCAAAAACCACCATATGATTATGAGAGACGCCGTAGTGGAGGACTCTGGACATTTCGACCGCCTGGGGTTCTTTAACGTGCACCCAAATCTGAGCACACGGGCCTACAACATTTTCGCCTGCATCGGAAATGCAGCCGCCGCAGCCGGGATCCCGCAACCTGCGGGTCAGCAGCCGAGTACCTTAGCCACTACACCACCGCGGAGGCGCACCATGATGCGCAATACAGTAATATCTCTGCCGACCGATGATCTCATCTCTGCCGACCGATGATCTCTTAATTTCCAAAAGTAAAGCAAGTGAAACCGAGCTATCGCTCAACAAACTGCTTCACTATGACATATTTCTTGGTCCACTTCTAATTTGCTTTATTCCATACTTGCTACTCTTTAATTTAAAAAAATAAAGGTCCTTCGCGTTCCTTGACTTCATTATCCGTTGTTTTCACGCAGTTGTGTCTAGCGATAAATTTAAGAGTTGACCGCGATAGCTATGATAGCCGATCCCTGGTGCGTACTTAACCAGTTAGTGTATGCTTTTTTTTATAGGATCTTACTCGACAAGTTTAAATTCTGGATTACTACAATGTAATTGAGAAAGTTGGAAGTGGCTTGTGTCAGGGAAGCTTTCGCACATGGCTGTATTCTTTGTAATGGGTAGCATAGCAAACAGGACTGCAACCATAAGATCGGCCCCTCTCCGCAGTGACATCAAGCTCGCGTGTAATAGTCACGAGCAGTTATGCGCGTGAAATGTTCTCGAGCTTGCTATGACTCCGACTGCGCGGTCTTAAATGGAATACGCGTGTCTGTGCCTTTTGTAATGCAGGGCCGGTGCTAAGCCACGAAGTCGTTGTGGTAATCACATGTTCTGACGCCCGATGGCAATGTCGCCCCGCCGTGGTGGTCTAGTGGCTAGGGTACTCGGCTGCTGACCCGCAGGTCGTGGGATCGAATCCCGGCTGCGGCGGCTGCATTTCCGATGGAGGCGGAAATGTTGTAGGCCCGTGAATTGAGATTCGGGTGCACGTTAAAGAATCCCAGGCGGTCGAAATTTCCGGAGCCCTCCACTACGGCGTCTCTCATAATCATATGGTGGTTTTGGGACGTTAAGCCCCACATATTGATCAATCCGATGGCAATGTACGCTTGGACCACGCAATATCACTGCGATATTGCGTGTTGTATTGTGAAGCCTGTACGGAGGACGCGTGTGTTTGTTGAGCATGAAAGTTATTTTCGCTGAATTTCCAAGCACCCGTGTATCTCTGTGGTAGGAACGCGTACATGCCATGCAGAGGACGGCTTGGCTGCGATCCTCACTCAGAGCAGGAAATTTTTATTTTTTTTTATTTGCACCTTTCTAGATTTTTCGGTCATGGACAAAATGATGTTTCGCCCATAACCAACGATGCCGGAATTTCCGCGAAACGAGCTCTTAAACGTCTTCGCGTTAAGAGACGACGGCACTCGATCCGTTCCCCTTTCGTTCAGTGTATTTCGCTTTGTGTTGGCCACGTTGTCAGCCTTTTTTTTGGCCGGGTGCTTGTGGTCAGGGGAAACGAATAACCTGCCTTTGTCTTAACTGTTCCCTCGCCATCAGCTCTGACGTATAAGCAAACACCGCAGTCCCTGAGCTGGCCACGCCATCAGGCGATAACTGGGGTCAAGATAATCTATGCTTGCTCTTAATCTTGAACTAAGTGCAGGTTCGAGAGTAAAATTATCTCGGCTCGTGAGAGGATATATCGGGCAGTCCCGAGAATGGACATGGGGAAGTCTGCGCCAAAACAGCTCCCCCGAGACGTCATGTTTTTATGGCACGCCGTTCAATTTATACAAAAACGGTGGTCTAGTGGCTAAGGTACTCTGCTGCTGACCCGCAGGTCGCGGGATCAAATCCCGGCTGTGGCGTCTGCATTTCCGATGGAGGCGGAAATGTTGTAGGCCCGTGTACTCAGACTTGGCTGCACGTTAAAAGAACCCCAGGTGGTCGAAATTTCCGGAGCCCTTCACTACGGCGTTTCTCATAATCATATAGTGGTTTTGGGACGTTAAACCCCACAAATCAATCAATCAATCAATTTATACCAAAGGCAAGGCACGGCCTGACGTTTTCATAAGCATCGCTCCTTTTGCCATTGTCAATGACCGTGTAACTGGGGGCCACGGCGTAAAAATAAGTTATTCTTACACCGTCCTGGGGGCCCATTAACGTATGCACAGAGTCAACTTTTATTAAAGGGAACACGGCGACGCGTGGCCTGTGTGCTCCGGCGGCTGCTGGAAGCGCGTTTAAGCGGGAGCGATAGAGACGACAGTCTCTTTTCGCGTCATCTCGCGGCGAGCAAAACAACCATTCGTTGCTGATCACCTTGAATGGGGAAGAGGGTCGCAACATTGCTGCTGGTTCCATATCAGCGGCGAACGGTTGTTTTGCTCACCGCGAGGTGACGCGACAAGAGACTGTGGTTGCTCTCGCTCCCGCTTGAAGGCGCTGCCAGCAGCCGCCGGAGCGCGCAGGCCACGCGTTCCCGTGTTCTCCCTTTCATAAAATTTGACACTGTACATGTCACGCCACTTGGTGGTTCTCGCCATTTCGCCAGCATCCGACTGTGATGTGTCGCTCTAACCAGTGAAGTCATGCGTGACGTTTCTGCTCAGACCACGTGACCCCGAACTATTCAGGTGCAAATAGACGCTCCCGGTGCATGTCTACCATTAGAGAAACCAGCCGACCAATGAGAAAGAACGCTCACGAAAGAAAAAAATTTGTGAATAGGCCTTTAGCTTATACTGAACGGCTGTAGAATATTCAGCGCCAAATATTCTTTTATGACTGTACACCTAAAGTGACTGTAAATCTGATGAACGCTCGGAAAAGCGCAATATCGAACGTCGCTAAAGTGATGGAAATGATGCTGCTCTGAACTGTAATATTTTTTAGTACCTACTCCGAACCTGCTTCAAAATCGCGCTTGGAAATTGAAAACAGTGAACTTTATTGATGTCTTAATGATTACGAGCATTAATTGTGCCTTAACGATTAAGCGATCCTTAACGAAAACAAAGCTAGCTACATGTATACTATTAATTTCAGGCGGAGTTGCCACTGCGGAATAGGAAGGACTCTGGAATCATTCCACATTTTCGCGACCCCGGAATGGAAGGGGGACAACGCTTTGAGTAATGGAAGGGGAATGCAATTTAGTGATTCTCGCACCAAATCGAATGGGAATGGAATTGCGTCTTTTTTCGAATATAGAGGAATTTTTCGTCGACGCGCTGTGTTTTAAACGGCGAACATTAGCAAGATCCTCGAATTGAATAATAAAGTAGCATTTTTAAAATGACTGATTACAAGCGTGGTACGTTTATGAACAGTGCGCCTATACTATAGTACGATTCTGTCCGAGTATCGACTGTTTTGCTCCGAAGTTTGTTCCTGTTTTTCGCGTAACCGCGGTTCTCCGTCGTGCGTAATACGTTAGCGGAATACGTTAGCGGAATACGTTAGCGGAATACGTTAGCGGAATCCGTCGTGCGGAATACGTTAAGTAGTACATAGGCGTGCGCAGGGTTCCGCTTTAGGGGGGGGGGTCGCAGCGCCCCCCCCCCCCAATTACGTCAATGTACGAGGCTGACTGTGCTCCCCCCCTCCAAGTCACAGCGCCCTCGCCCTCCCTACTATGTCAATGTATGAGGATGACTCTGCGCCCTCCTCTGAGGTGCCTAAGGAGGACTAGGGTGGAGGTGGGGGGGCGTGCTCCCCCTTGTGCCTCTCGTGCGCACGCCTGTGAGTAGTAGATAATAATATTTATGAGATGCTTTAATGATGCTTCAGTTACTCCAAGAGTTGCTTGGAATATTTTGCCATCTGCTTCAAAAACACCTATAGCTGCTCTAAACTAGCTTTTTTTTTTCCTGCTCCGATGGCCGCTCTAAAGCATCGTTTTTTCTGCTGCAGAATCTGCTCCAAGAATCAAAATGGTGCTTCCATCGCAACTAATAACTGTCAGCATCGTGGTTTTTATATCGGTCCATTCACTTTCACCGAAGCTTCGCGAAATTATTCGCGACGTGCCAGTGCAATGAAAGAATG